GAATCTCGGGCGACCGATACCACAGTGTGACCACCTTCAACGGTGCAAGACTAGTGAGTGAGTGAGCGAGTGAGTGAGTGAGTGAGGGGGTTGAGACAATGCAAGGCAAGTGGAAAGTACCTCGTGAGTCATCTTGGGAAGTGGGTAGCCGAACGCCTTGGCCAAACCGAAGTCGCCCAGCTTCACGAATCTTCGATGCACATCCACCAGCACGTTTTGCGGCTTCAAATCACGGTGCATGATGCGTCTCACATGGCAATATTGCAGAGCTTGCAGCATTTGGAACATGAAGGACTGGAGGGGAAATTCAAATGCACCACACAAAGCCCTACCTTAACCAAGGTGGGAGGCAACCCGGCGAATGCATTGAAGCGATCCAAATAGCGCCTCAGATCCACGGTTAAATGCTCAAACACCAAGTACAGACGACCCTCCTCGAGAATAACATCCTCCAGTCTGCAATGCTCACGCGTGTTTGTACACTTACATGACAATGTTGGGGTGGCTCAGCTCCTTCAGAAGTCCTATTTCCCTGATCACGGTGGAGGGGAAGCCCTGCTCCGACTTCTCCAGCTTGATGCGTTTCAGCGCCTTCAGGTGGCCTGACTTCTGACAGTGGCATCGGTAAACCACGCCGTAAGTGCCTAAAAGGACAGGACAACCGATTCGGCCAAACCTTCTCCAATCTTCTTCAGGTCCGTAAAGTCCGACAGCTCGTAGTTCGGCATCCTCGCCAATCACACCAAACACAGTTTAAGTTAACTGAATTTACGCGGGTGCCAGTTTAAACAGTGGAGATCACAAATTCGGCTCGACGAATGGAATTGTGTGAGCATTAGTAAAATTTGAGTTGTGGCAAATAAGGTGTGAAGGCAAGAGAGGCTTTGAAAGGCGGTTGTTAGTGAAGTGCATTTGGTTGAGCGCAAGTGAGTAGTTGCGACGGGAGGAGAGTCGTCGTCTGCACTAATAGACAGGTAGTATGTGCATTTGTGTGGTCGTCTAGCGTGTGGATATATGCTGGTGTGGAACTATGAGGGCGGGATTTGCGGTGAGCAGGTGGTTGTAGAAGTGATGTGAGAGGGACGAATACGTGTACAAAGGAGGAGGAGGAGGAGGAGGAGGAGGAGGAAAGGCGGGGCTTTGACGTGGTGTGGAGACGAGGTGGTGGGACAGAAGCACGATAGTGGTAGAATAAGCAAGTGTCACAAAGGCTCGCCCCTTTCGGAAGACCTTTACGGAGGCTCTCTTCTCCAGACACCTCTTCCGTGTCAGCCACCGGATCGGATTCGATGGTGCAGGGCGACGCCCAGTACTCCAAATCATCATAAGTTGGGAATGTGGCACCTCCACTCTCTTCATCCGAGCGTAACTGTGAGCCGACAATTAGTCTGCATCTTTGCCTCCAAGCAATCACTCTGCACAACTGTCAAGTCGCCTTGTTCAAACTGTTTATCCGGTATCGGATGATCCGCTGCGTCTATTGGCTCGTACAATCTGGCAGCAAACAAATGAATTTATCGTTTGTAAGAACATGTTGGATGAAGGATTGCAATGCCCAATCTTTGCGTTTGTGAGATGCAT